CTCGCCGCAGAGGTGGGGCGCACGGGGTGTTTTTTTTTTTTTTTTTTTTTTGGTACAGGGGATTGAACTCAGGTTCTTGCTCTTGTGAAGCAGGCGGTGGAACCACTGTGCTAAATCCCTGGCACCAGGGTTCTAGAGTGTGATGGACTCGAGGTGCCAGCCCCTGGTAGAGACTGCTGAGGAGGTGGCACAGTGTCCTGGGCGGGAGGGGAGGCCTGGGTTAAGGGGGCAGCTCGAGGAGGGGCAGGGCAGTGAGGACTAATGGGGGCACGTGTGGCTGAGCTGAGGGTGCTGAGCCAGTGAGTGAGTGGACTCCCTGGGCTGCGGGAGGAGGAGCCGGGTGAGCTGGGGCCTCTGGCTCAGAATAGAAATACACGTGGGAGGGGTGGCCTAAAGAAGGCCTTGAAGGAGGTGTAGGAGTTTTCCAGGGGCGCAGTGAGGGAAGAGCAGCCCAGACTGAGCATAGAGGAGGGACAGAGCCTGTGTGCTTGGGGTGGGGGTGGGGCACACAGGGTTTGAAGGTAAATTGTGGGCCAAGGAGTTGGGGTCACGGGCGCCATCCACAGGCTATGGTGAGCTCAGCAGGCTGAGAGCCAGTGTGAGAATTCAAACATCTGAATCAATTCCCTGTGGCTGCTCTAACAAATCAGCACGAAGGCCAGATGTGGTGGCACATAGGCCGAGGCAGGAGGATCACCGTAGGTTTGAGGCCTGCTTGTGGGACATGGTGAGACCCTGTCTTGAAAAAACAAAAATAAAACAAAGCAAATGACCACAAGGACGGAAGCCTGAAGTCTCTGTGATGCAGCGGTCCCTGTTCCAGCTCCCGGTCGCCCCATCTGCCAACCTCTGCCCAGTTCCAAGTGATAGTTTCGGAGTCTGTGTCTTCTCTTCCTGGTGTCGTTGGATTTGGGACCCACCTGGCTAAGCCAGGATGCTCTCATCGTGAGTCCTTATCTTAATCTTTCTGCCAAGACTGCTTTTGTTTTTTTGTTTTGAGACTGACCTGGAACTCACTATGTAGCCCAGGCTGGTCTCGAACTCACAGCAATCCTCCTGCCTCAGCCTCCTGAGTGCTGGGATTACAGGCGTGGGGCACCATGGGCAGCAAGACCGCTTTTCTAAATAAGGTACCCTCGCAGGTTCCAGGGGACAAATGTCTGGGGTAGGGGACACCATTCAACCTACTTCAAAATCCTAAGCTGGTTCTCTTCCCATCGGAGAACAGCTCCACCCTGGCTCCCAGCCTCTCCGGGGACCGTGAGGCCCCCCCACACCTTCCAGAGAGTGTACGCCCCCCCCCCTTGCTCTGCTCCCTGCCACCTCTAGGAGTAGAGGAGACCTTGCTGCGCTGCGGACCGCGGGCGCCACCGTGTGTTCATCCTGGAGCGGTGCGGAAAGAGGATGCGGCCCAGACCCCACAGTGCAAAGAAAGATCGTCACAGCCACTCACAGGGACCCACCGTCCAGCAGTCGCTCCACACACATCCTTCCTCCTGCTCAGAGCCGCGGTACAAGGGAGTTAATGCATCATTTTTCAGAAGAAGAGACTGAAGTTCAGAGAGGCTGCGACCTGCCACTCTGAGACAGCCTGCAGCTGCTACGTGACACCCTGCCCACACGGGACTAACCACAGGCGAAAATCAGGTGGTGCTTGGGGGTGGGCATGAGTCTGCAGACGAGGGTGACCTCGACTTCTCAGGGTCGTGTGGAAGGTGAAGGGGTGCAGGGGAGCCGTGAGGTGGCCCCTTCTGGTTTCCTGGCCCTGGGAGCCTCTCTGGGTCTGACATTTTCCAAACTCCAGGCTTTTTCTCCCATATTCTCCCTGCATGATCTGTGCACACGTGTGTACACATGCATGTGTGCAAGTACCGTGTAGATACACACGTGTATATCCTGTGTTCCTCCTCCACAAACTCTTCCAAAGCAAATGCTGGCAACGCTGGCATTCAACATCCAGGTCTGTACTTTCATTTATTCCACAGAATTACATTTAATATTTTTTCCTTTGCTTTTGCTTTTTCTGGGGGGTCCTGGGGATTGAACTTAGGACCTTGCACTTGGGAGGCAGGCATGGTGCCACTGAACTAAATGCTCAGCTCTGCTTTTTTGTTTTTTTTGGTACCAGAGATTGAACTCAGGACCTTGGACTTGCAAGGCAGATGGTGGCACCACTGAGCTAAATCCTCGGCCCCCTGCTTTGTTTTTTGAGACAGGGTCTCATTACGTAGTTCACCTGGCAACATTTACTTTCTGTTTGGGGTCCTATGAGTCTGCTGGGGGTGCTAAGACAAAGCGCCACAGACTGAGGGGGCAGAAGCAGCAGAATTTATTCTCTCTAACTTCTGGGGCAGGAAGCCCGGGATGGAGGTGAGGCCGGCTGCTGCATCTCAGGCCTTTCTCTCGCTAGACTGGCAGAGGCAGATGCCTCCTCCGCCTGTCTCCACAGCATTTTCTGCTGAGCAGGTCCTAGAACAGATTTTCTCTTCTAAGGACGCAGGGCCTCCATCATAACCTCATTCTAACTCAACAGCCTCTGTGGAACTGCTGTTGCCAAACACGATCGCACTCTGAGGTACTGGGGTGTTGGAACTTCGAGATGTGAATCGGCGGGGGGAGACACAATTCAGCTCATAACCAAGGAATAAGGACACAGTGTTGATGGAGCTCTTATATATCTGGCCAGGCACAGTGGCATGCACCTGTCTCCCCAGCCTCTCAGGAGGCTGAAGCTGGAAGATCACTAGAGCCCAGGAATTCACAGCCGGTGCCTGGGTAACGTAGTGAGAGATCCTATCTGAAAAAAACAGAACAAAACAAAAAATTAGGAATGCAGCTTAGTGGTAGAGCACTTGCCTGACATGGGAGAAGCCCTGAGTTCTATCCCCTGCAATGCAATGCAAAAAAAAAAAAAAGTATATTGTATATGTAAAATGGCATGTGCCCAGCATCCAGGACTGGCCTTCAAGCCCTCCCTTGTACCCTTCCCACAGCCCTCCCAAGGGAAGCCGCCTGACCTCCAGCCCAGCTGGGCCTGCTTTGCTGAGGCGCCACCCTGCCCTGCCTGCCCTCTTCCGCTCTGTTGTCTTCGCGGTGTCACCCGTGCGGTGCCTGCGTCGCTGTGGAACCCTCCTCTGTGTGGGTTCACCCATTTTATTTCATGCTTGCTGCTCTCAGTAGCGTACTGGGGAGTCTCCAGGCTTCTCTGAGGACATAGTGTTGCTGGGAACAACGCCGTGAGGCTTTGGGGGCCCACACGTGCCCCTTCTATGGGCACAAGTGCCCAGGTGGCATGGCCGGGCAGTCTGCATGTCTTCTAATTCAGCAGAAGAGTGAAGTTTTCCCAAGGACAACGTGGTTCATGTGCCCACCGGTCATAGGTTCTGAATCCCCGTGGACACTGGGCATTTTCTGCTCTTTTTTGTGGGGTGGTGGTGGAGGGAGGTTGGAGACAGAGTCTTGCTACATAACCCAGGCTGGCCTTGAACTCAAGCAATCCTCCTGCCTCAGCCTCCTGAGTGCTGTGATTACAGATGTGTGCCACCTGCTCTTTTCCTACCAGTTCTCTGTGTACAGAGCTCTACCGGTCAATCTGCAGCACTTTAGGGACTAAAGAAGCCAAGTGCTTTTCCATGAGTTTTTTACCAGTTTGATTCCCACTTTCGTCTGTTAAGCTCCCCGCCCCCGCTTTTTGCTTTTTTCAGATTGATTTGTGAGAAATCTTTCACTATTCTGAGCAGGTCTCTGCAGTGTGTGTTGTGACTACCTCTTCCCATCTGTGGCTTTCCTTTTCTTTCACCTTGTTAAATGTTTTAGGTTGGTCTAGTTTACCTCTTTTTTATTTTTTGAGACAGGGTCTCACTGTGTAGTTGAGACTGACCTGGAACTCACTATGTAGCCCAGGCTGGTATCAAACTCACAGTGATCCTCCTGCCTCAGCCTCCTGAGTGCTGGGATTACAGGCGTGCACCACCACGCCCGGCTAGTTTCTCATTCTTTAAGGCTGAGTAATATTCCATTTATAGAAAAACCACATCATCTTTATCCAGTCTCCAACTGATGGGCAATTGGGCTGTTTCCCAGTTTTAGCTGTGACAATCTGTGCCGCTGTAATCATGGGTGAGCATATATCACTGTGGTATGATTCTTTTAATTCTTTTGGAAAGTTACCCAGCGGAGGGATGGCTGGGTCAAGTGGGAACTCTAATTCTAGTTAGAGTTCTGTTGTTTTAAGTCACCAAGCTTCTGGTAATTTTTTTTACAAAAGCCACAGGAAGCTAAAACCAGGGTCAGGTTACAGCTTTTTTCCTGGGACATTCTCTCCAGCTGACCCAGCCCCCACTGCTGTCACCTTTGTCCCGAATCAGGTGTGTGGGTGGCTGGAGTGCGGTTGTTTGGGGAGCGATTCTCTTCTGTTCTTGGACTGATTTCCCCGCTGTCTGAATGACTTGGCTTTCCCGAGTTCACAGTATCAGCACAGAAGCTTCTCTAGTTTTGTTCTTTGTTTTTGTACTTTATATAGATAGCTTTTGTTTTGCATTTCTGTATAGCTTTTAGAATCAGCTTATTAATTTGGGGGCAGAGGAATTTTGATTGGGATTGTATTAGATCTGGAATTTGAGAGTAACTGATATGTTTACACATTGAGTTTTCTAGTCCATTTGATTTCACACAATAACTTGCTTCATTTATTTGGTTTTTTGAGATAGGATCTCACTATGTAGTCCAGGCGGGGCTTGAACTTGTGGTGTTCCTCCTGACTCAGCCTCCTGCGTGCTGGGATTACAGATGTGCACCACCAAGGCAATAATGTTTTAAAAAAATATAAAAATTGAGATGCAGTTTATACACCACAAAATTCGCCTGTTTTTTTTTTTTTTTTTTTTTTTTTTTGTGTGTGTGTGTGTGTGTGCGTGTGTGTACCTGAATGTGTGCATGGGGATTGAACCCAAGGTCTCAAGCGTTCTAGCCAAGTGTTTTACCACCTAGCTACACCCCCTACCCTCTGTACTTATTTTCAGACAGGGTTTCCCCAAATTCCCCCAATTGGCTTTAAACTCCCCATCCTCCTGACTCAGCCTCCTTAGTAGCCGGAAATACAGATGTTTGCCATAATGTGTGGCTAAGCCTCATTTCTTTCTAGGGCCGAATAACATATTTATTTACTTACCAGCTGATAGACATTAGGGCTGTTAATGCTTTGGGGCAGTGCTGGATAATGCTGCTGTGAACGTAGCGGGCAAGTTTTCGTGTGGGCATAGTGTCAGTCTCCTGGGGATTTTGTACCTAGGAGTGGGATTGCTGGGTCACAAGGTCTGTATGTGAATGTCCGGGGAGCTGCTAACCTGTTTTTAGAGGCGAGGTCACCTTGCAAATTCCCTCCAGCAATGTGGAAGGGTCCTGACTTACCCAGGGCTTGGCCAACATTTTGTCTTTTTGATTACTTCTCCAGTGGGTGAGAGCACTACATCATTGTGGGTTTGATTGGCATTTTCCTAATGAAAAATACAATATACAACAATATACAATAATATTTTGCACATTGTTTGATTCATTGCTAGGAAGTTGATGCACTTATAGCTTCATTTGAAAAATAAACTATATAAGGTAGGCCGGGCCCGATCCACCGCGGGAAGGAGAACCACGCCTGCTCCCGACCCAGCCGCCATCGCTCAAGCGCTGGGAAGGTAGCGCCCCTGAACCCCCATAAGCCCCCCCCGCACTCTCAGACCTCTTGACTGTGCAAGTCTTTGGACCCACTCTGCAAAGACAGAGGTGGTCATCAAGGGTATTTTTCTGAGTTCCCAACTTTGAACATCTTTAAAGAAAGGGCGTGGGAAACCTGTAATAGAACGTTGCGGAGTGCAACCATTCAGAAGGATGGGGAACTCAATCTGGGCCTTGCAGCCCGAGGTCAGTCAGTGTCATGGGGTTCAGCAGTCAGCTAACTGAGATCAGGGGTCTTGCATCCTTGCTCTGTCTGAGCCATTAAATGGTAAATATTCTATATTGAAAAATTTGTTCACTGCAGACATGTTCTGGACTGCTTCTTGATTTCAATTTAATTCAAATGATTTAAGGGTGATAGACTAGTGACTACCACAGGTGGTCATTGTCCAAGTTGCGCTTGATCTCTATGTATTGCTGATTGTATCAGTTGGGGTAAAGCATTGCCGTTGATTTGCTGAGCTGTTTTCTCTGATGTTATGAAGATGAGAATGTCTGTGGGTCGTTAGAGACACAGAAGCTAGGGCGCAACTATATCAGGAAGATTTGGGTGATAATCCAGAGATTAGACCAAGGACAGTCTGACAACAAAAATTAAAATGAGAAAACACTTAAGCAAGACACAAGGACAGACTTCCAGTTCACCAATGGCAAACAGTAGGGCAAATGAGGATGAAAAGGCCGATAGTGAACCACCAGGACACCCTGAACTCAAAGCACAGGAAGTAACAAAACAGATCAATCAGGCTCTAGAAAAATTCAAAACAGAAATAATTTCCCAGATAACCATAGAGATAGTGAGCAAAATGGAAGTCGTGATTCGAGACTCTAGAGCAGAAACTGACAAAAAAATAGATGAGCTCAGGACCATGATAGAAGCCATGAAGGCCCAGCATAAGAAAGAAATGGAAAAAATAAACACCCAACATAGGAAAGAAATGGAATCCATAAAACAGATTCAAACAGATATCCAGGAGATTAAACACTCTATTGAAAGTGTACGCAACAGAATAAAAGAATGCGAAGATAGGCTCTCAGATATAGAAGATAAGATTGCAGTCAGTGACCATGAAAAGAGAGGTCTCTTAAAAACAGTAAGAGATCATGAGAAATCGATCCAACAACTCCTAGATGATGCAAAGAAGAATAACATAAGACTGATAGGAATACATGAAGTAGCAGGAGAAAATACAAATGACTTAAAAAAGCTGTTTGCAGAATTAATGACAGAAAACTTCCCAAACAGAGGGGAAGAATTTGACATTCAGATAACTGAGGCATATAGGACCCCAACTAGCTACAATCAAAAAAA